TACTATTGCTATACAAAACGTATTCTCTAAACGACAGCGACGAAAAGGAGCAGTAAAAATATCACCTGCGTGCTGACACTTGTCGAGCAAAAGGAGTTACCCTATAAGTAGACTTTTAATGGAATGTTGGAACAATTGCCCTATTTCATTATGACGTCACAGTATGTTTACATCGGAAAACGATGCTCAAAAACAGTGGAAATATGGACGCATTTATATTGTCTAATAAAGTAGAACCTCAATGAATCGCGTTTTGATATATATCATGTATAAATGATTGTTCATGTACATTTTATTTGATATGCAGTCTCTCTGATCCCTTCTGGCGACCATAATCCTTAGCGTTAAAACAATAGAATGTTTTGATGTGACGTCATAATGAACTAGGGCAATTAGAAATGTCTCAAAATGTCGACAGGACAACAAGGGGCCATTTAGCATGGCAATGCGCAGAAGAACCTAAAGACGTGTTTAATGTTCAATTAAGCTAAAACCAGTACAATTAGCAACAGAATACGTATGCGAACAATGCACACAAATTTCAAAACTTTCTTGGAAAAAATTATCCGTTGTGCACTTCCAGCCAGAAAAATGAAAAGGTGAATATTTTCCCAGCCAGATGGCGGTTTATGATTTTTTTTTCCCAGCCAGAGAGCGGATCGGCTCATTTTCGATTATGCCAGCCAGCGCTATCCAAAGTTATAATTTTTGCCAGCCAGTAAATTGTGCTAATATATTGATATCTATGCTGATTTTATCCATGAATTAGTGGCAAATAAGCGAATACGTGTGTATCAATGCAACTGTATACTGTTTAAGAAACATAAAACGGTGCCAGGGACCGCGGAACATGAATTTGTTTGGGGGGGGGCTAGCGGCGATGAGGTACTAGGGGGATTCGGAATTTTTTTGAAATGTAACTCTCGGGATTGTCATTTCCAGCGTTTTGAGGCGTTATCAAAGACATTAGTTTACCGCACACACGGTCAGCGATATTATCAATAAATCGCAAAAAAGCTTCAATTTTAATTGTTCACGCTTAGTTTTTATACAATTTTTATAGAATATATCTATATCTATCTTCTTTATTTAAGAAAATTCAAAATGTCGGAAAAATTATTGGGGGGGCTGTAGCTCCCCAGCCCCCCTGCTCCGCGGTCCATGGGTGCGCGTGTCTGTCCTCTGTTATAAACACAATGGGAATTGAAAAACACGAGAAAAGCAAGAAATCTCTCCAGCGAAAAACGAAAGTAAGCCGTGTCTTTGTCCTCTGATATACACACAGTCGTCAGCCAATCAGAGCGCGCGTTATGTATATATCAAAAATTTATAAAACGTTATAAAGGGGGCTTGGGTCCATTTTCTCACTTTAAGGGTTTGAAATCAGTGTTCTGGTCCCGATTAAGTTCAAGTTTCACACAGTAAATGCAACAATATTTTTATACAATAGCTTTTTATTTCTCTATCACAAGTTCAATTAAAGAATCACAACCAACCGGCGTACATTGTGAGCCGAAGCGCCATTTTAGGTGGACAAGAATTAAAATGGAGGATTCGTAGGATTTCTTAAAGTGAGCGCAAATCGTCTTCCGTCCTTTCAGTTTGGACAGAAGTAACTTTAACTACATATAATCTATTGTATGTTTGACTCACTGTAATGTGGTTGATTCGGATTCTTTAATCCGACTCTTCTAGGAGCTGTACAATTGTTTTTATATTTTAGCCTAAACTAAGTGTGCAGGAATATACCTATTAGAAAAGCCTCGCTATACCAGGAATATACCTATTAGAAAAGCCTCGCTATACCAGGAATATACCTATTAGAAAATCATTTTTATTGCAAATTCTACTATAAAGTGTTTATGTGAAAAAATTGACAGATAAAAAAAAATCGAATGAAAATGAAATCATGTATAAAGAAGAGAATGAGTTTATTTACAAATGCACGAAGGAAGCTACATTATCTTTCTGTTTGGATATGACATTTCCAGTTTTCAAATATTACAATAATTGATGATTGGACCAAAAGGGATAGACGTCCATTCCTTAGTCGACTTACATTTATTTTCAATTCAAGTCTTATAGCTATAAACGATACATTCCATTTTCTGAAAGATTCTGTGTCATGTACCAACTATACTTGTTTTTTTGTTTCTTTTGATATTGTTTTTTTTAATATTAGGGTTAGGTTTAGGGTTAGGGTTAGGGTTAGGGTTAGGGTTAGAAAGTTTTTAAATTATGAAACCTACTTTCTGATTTTGAGATGCTAATTTGGCCTTGATCAGCATTACGATATAGCAATTAATATTTGTCTGGAATATTATTATTACACTGCATCAGAAACTCATAAGGGGATTGAAACGTGTAGCAACAGTACATTTCCTTGGTTCGATGCTCCGGAATATTCAAAACGCCAATAAATCAACTGAAGTAATTTTACAACCATATTTGGAACAATAATATACCTCATTCCATGTCCTTTGGATGGTAATCAGTTGATTTTGTACGATTTTAAGCTCTTTTGAGCATTTTAGCTACATTTTAGAACCATTTAAAACGAGACAACTTTTTGCCGCCGTCTGTCCGCCATTTTGTTTTCATCTCAAACTCAAATGTTTGGCCCAAATATGGTATCAAAATTATGCTAATCATTTTGAATATTCCGGAGCATCTGACCGTGCTACACGTTTCAATCCCCTTATGAGTTTCTGACTGCATAGATTGTAATACTCCAGTTTCGAATTCTTTTCTGTGCAAGCTTCAATCAAGCAAAAATTTGTATTGTCTACTTTGTATAGAGAGTGCTTGTATTACAATAGGATCTCTGCTGAGTTCTTCGTTAGCAGGTTACGTCACAGCGGCCATCTTGGAGGAACTTTAACAAAGGATTTCTGATTAGTATATTGCTCATTCCTCCAACATTGCCGCCGGTCTTTTATATTTTGAATCTCATGGGAATGGGTGAAAATGATAAATAAAAATATATATATGAGTGTTGTCAAAGCAAATGGGCCCTAAAGAACACGCCCCTGAGCAGTGATCTGTAGAGAGCCGCGAACAAAAGGGTCCTTAGCAGCGTACGTGCCTTTTACAATGACATCGCTCATAACGAGACTTTCATAGAATAAATGGCATAAATAAAAAAAATAGGTATGCTATATTTGCACATGTGAAAAATAGCGATATGTCCAATCAGAAGCGTGTATAGCATTTCTCACATGAAAATATAACCAATCATAACACAGACCGTAATCAACCAATCAGAAAGCGACGTTTACAACACTGAAAAGGCTTTTCTCACATACCGCGCGTTGATAGAAAAATGGCTGAAGGTGAACTGTGTTTGTCGATCAAGATTCCACATTTGAAGAGTTTATTACTGGACAGGAAAATGAACATAACTAAAGCAAAGTAAGACGAGATGTATTTTACTCAAGAGAATTTAATTTTTGTCATCCAAAATGAACATGAGAGCATAAAAAGCAAACAGCAAAAACTATGAACGAAGACAAATAGAAATTTGTTGTCTTAACCTGTACTTACTATAAAAAAGCATCTCACTTAAAAAAATCTCACTAAAACCTGTCCCTCTAGCTCTTTGCAGCTCCAGTTGAGTTTTTACGGACACTAGGACAAGTTGTATTCAATAGTTGTTTGCATCTTACAACTCGCGAATAAAATCCCGTACGTCGCACTTTCCATGAAATAACCTATATATATTCTATATTGAGGGTCATCCACTTCGAAAAAGTAAATCTACACCGACGTCCGCGACGATAGAAGAATCAGTGAAAATTTGTGAGTAAGCTGTAATAATAATGCATTTGTGTATGAAAATAAACCATGGCCAGAAAATCCGGACATACGAGCCCGCAATAGCAGCGGTACTTCGCAGAAAGCATAAAAACATGTTTGTTAAATTTTACAAAGAAATGTAAGGATCAAAATAACTATTTGATAATAATATTTGATCTGTTTTACCTGGAACGTTTTCCAAGATGAAATCCTAGAGGGAAACTATTCTTGATTACATTGTAGGAAAGGCAAATAAACACGAAATTGTCAAGTAGAGCGTCCTTTTTGACAATTTTCTTTTCCCTTCGTCGTCTCCTTTGCCCTTGTATTTTATGGTGAAAATCCGCGAAGAAGCGAACTTTCACCGTATCTGATTTCTTACATGCCACTGATTTTTCAAAGATTATTTCTCAAAGTCCACACATTGAGCTAGAAACACAGCGATTTTCAGCTATTTTGAGGACGATAAACAGCGTCCTTTTTGACACTAGAAATCGTACAATTTAAAAAAAAAACCGAACTTGACGGTGAAATGGCTGGCGACGACTCGTATTTCACGCGAATAATTGGCCTCGACCTTCATTTTAATCGCCATGTTTGGTACAAAAATAAACCTTAGAAACGTGGBTTTCAGACTGGGACTGCTTTAATTTTGTCGGTTTTTATTGGCGCCTCGCGCGCACTGGTAAATAGCGGGAAATACGAACGAAAGATAGACCAAATAAGTCTACGCTATTTAGTGTAAACAATGTCAGAACTTTTAAATTCCTTAGAAATGTACAAGTATAAACAAAAGATCACAATATCAACTGATGATCATTGTTTAAAATACCCAAGGGAAACGTGTCTTCCAGCAAATAATATTATTTACACTATGAACATTCCAAACGAGCACCTCACAAGCCACTATGAACTCAAGGAGCAGGGAGTGCTATCGCAGGCTCGTTTGTCGATGTTTTGAACGTTTCGATAACCCTGTATGGTATTGAGATAAAGGATCCTTGCACAAGAGTAGAAAATTTGATCTTAAAAAGTTCAAGCCTTGTCAAGGGAACTTGTAGAAAGCACTATTTTGGTGGGAAAACCCGCTGACTCCGTCATGGTCTCAAATGTCCGGAATTTCTGACCATGTGAATCTATGAAACAAGGAGCCAAAATCCCGTCTTTTTACCCGACAATTAAGTTTCTTACTGGAAATATGATGATATCTGTGTGTCATTTTACTCATATCATGAGATACATTTGCGGTGCTATCAGATAGAGGGAGGCAACGGGTTGGAAGTTGACCAGTGAGACTTTTCCTATATACTTTGAGTAATTCTTCTTCATAATCTATGATGTAAAAAGCCATATAATGAACGAGTTATTAACCTCGCTTGCTCGATCTGCACGGGAATTAAATATCAGACCTCGGTCTGATATTTTCCCGTATATACAGACCTCGCGCTCGGTTAATAACTTCACTCTTAATATTACATYCTTTCGAGGTTGGGCTGCATGAATAAGATCTCTCTACACTAGAGTAATGACAACAGCGATGTTCTTARATGTGCATTTAACTATATTTTATTTTGATTGTTTATGTTAATCGTTCAATGATTTATGTTTGATTCCCGTGCAACTCATCCATGGTTCATCAAATATCACGCTACATTTCTTTTGTTCGGTCAGTTCATCTTGATTTCATGAGCTAGATATTGCCATCTCCCTCTGTTGCTTCTTCGTTGGCACTTCCACTACCACTTGTCTCTGTTTCTTCGTCTAGCTCACAGTAGTAGCCACGAAGATGTGAGGTTGATTTCTCGGGACATGGCTCACACTTGTTGTTAAACGGACTTATTCGTACGTTGTTCCCGTCACAGCAACCATTCTCTGAAACTGTTACTTCGGACCTTGAGATCAAGCCTGAGATGCGGTTTCGTTGTTTTCGCTTTTGTTTCACCATCAGCTTTACTTCTGCTTTAATCAAAAGATTGGTTGCAGGTTTTGGAGCATCCCATTTCATTTCCCTTGCACCCTGTATAGTTTCATAGCTGAGACTCCAGGTTGACAGTATAGTTGGATAAAGACTTAGTGAGCCCTGAATGGTATTTGATGCATCGCATATCTTAGGAAGGTTGTCACAGAGACTGTAAGGATTGTCAATTTCCTCACCACTGCAGCTGGTGTATCCCTCTTCGTAGACTGTTTCAAATGTGGCATGTCGTCGCGGAAGAAGATAAGCGATGTTCTTTTTACTTGGTTCCATAGAGACATGACTAGATGCGATTGATTTCAGTGTGATGGTAGTTGTAGTGAGCTCTCTGTCTGCCCCAGTCTTGTATTCTTTATGTGGTAAAAATAGTTTGAATTCGCTTACGAAGGGCATATCTGTAGTTTTTCTTGATGTGATCCATCTGTGGTTCAGTAGCCAATCCTTATTCATCGGAGGCTTGAAGACAACATTTTCCCCCCTTGCAAGAGCAGCCAAGTCGATGTAGCCCGTGTCTCCTTCAAAACTAGCTTGAGTTGGAATGTACACTTGCCTTTCAATCACATTGGTAGATGCGGTAAATGAGTGGTCAATCAAGACGTCCAGGTTTTCTTTACTGTACAGTCCATCGACTGTCGAACACGGCATCCTAGCTGGCTCACCATTGTGCTGATATTCCAAGATGTCGCAAAACATGGATGCGGTGGATTGAAACTTATAGTGCATCTTGAAAGATCCTATAAATAGCTGACTAGCGTGCAGAACATCTCCTTTGCCTTTGATATTGCCTCCAAACCTCTTTGCTATATTACCGCGAACGACCGCTGCGACGGCGTCGACCAACTGGAATTGGAAATCYAATATGTCTTCTCGAAGTGTGAAAAACTGAGCCAAAGTTCCTTCGAGTTTCTCACACAATAGTTTTCCTCCGACAATCCCTTTGGCAGTCGCACCAGCAATGCCTACKTCGCCACTCAAGATATCGCACGTAGCATCCTTGAATGCCGACCACAAGGCATTATTTTTCTCCAGTTTGGATCGATCTGTCTGAGGAGTATAGGCAGCATAAGCTTCCAGAAATTTGTCGGCGTCTTTACCAATGTCATCTGTTTTATTTTGCCTTATTTTCTCAACAACTTCTTTAAGTCCTGTAATTTGATCCCTATTTCCTAGAAAAGCCTCAGAGATTTTCAAAGAATCCTCTGKAAGTCCATCCAAAGCTATATAAAGTGCAGATGCTTTAGCAACATCGGTAGCGGCATCTGCAACTTTGCCTGTTGCTTCTACAACTTCAGCCAAATCAGGCCCACTGAAAATGAGTTTAAGAGGATTGGAATTTTCGGCAAGTTTTATTGCAAGAAAAGCGGTGGCTTCACCAAGATTCGCTGCAGTTACAACAATCATCTTTGCCATAATTTCTTCGACGTCCTCTTTTAATTGAGACTGCGTATCAATGAGACTGGTGTTATATTTATCCAACTCGCCCTGAATGAAGGCTACGTCAGCATCAGCAATTCCTTCGTCAAAGTTTGCAAGACCTTGAAAATACTGGGATATTCCAGAGACAGACGCTTCTAAGTTTTCATCAAGAGCCTTTATTGTACCCAATAGTTCTATATGTTGATATGTACTTTGTTCTTGCTCCAGTCTCGCTTTAAAGTTAATGTTTGGCAGGTTTCGAAAATCTCTTACCAAAGCGAGGCTTCTCTTGTCTTTAGTGTATCGCTGAATCTTCTTGATCATAACATATTCCTTGTAAATATCAGAATAAGGGCAAGACTCTGTGAATAGAAGATCGCTACACGCCGTTTGCATTACTTTGAAGACGTTTTCGTTTTCTTGTACCATGGCTAGAGAATGGTCTAAGTTGAAATATGCTTTGGTTGCAACTGCATCTTCAAGAAAAGTCTTCCATGTTGATGTGAAATAACTTGGAGTAATGCTGACAAATGCCATGAGGAGATTGGCATCATGATTGACTTTATTGTACGTCTCTTCGAATGTGCAGTTCCCACCTTCGCAACTTTCAGGACATATTCTGTCAACAATCCATTCATTGATTTCATACCAAAATAGTCCTAACATCATGCGCATAGCCTTGGACAAATCGCATTTTTCATCAGGCGTACAGGCGTCTGTAAGATCTGTGCCAAGAAATTGTTGACCGTATGGTTTTCCTTCCGTTGCACAAGAATCGACATTAGGGCACACATCTGTTATCGATATTTCTTTTGTGATTTTACGTGCATTAACRCCTTGGCAAATMTCTTTACGCGGCAAAGAATAAACTGAGGTTTTGTCAGCTGAATTTAGATGATTTTTAATGTTATCTCGTATTCGTTCATCAATTTTTTGGCCCCTACCGTTCTCATTAGAGACAAGAATATCGCTGGTGACAAGAGACGTTCTGTCCAAAAAAGATGGCCACTGTAGATTGGCAATCATAGACAAGCAATCATTGGGTAACTCTGGATTGGACAGTGGTGCTTTCATGAAATTTCCAGCTTTGTCTTGGAATTCCTTCAAGGTATTGGCAAATTCTTTTATGTTCTCAGTTTCTTGTTCCTCTTTCAATGGCAAGGCTTTTTTGAGCAAAACAAGGCGCATGTTAAAAAGCTCAAAGACAGGCTTAGCCCAGCCACCAGTATCATCGCAGGTGGATTGAACGCTACTGCATAACAGAAGCAGCACCATAAACCCAAATGTAAATCGGATTATGGGAGAAAACATCTTCTGCAGCGTTTCTGAAGAAAAAAATAAGATGTTTGTGACTGAAAGCATATATTTGTGCATCTGTACATAACCACTGATATCGTGAGAACATTATGGTATAACATTGCATTACTGATAAAAACTACTCAATAAACTCGCAATGTACTTTTAATCGAACAAAGAAACATTCCCAGATATCGTGGATGAAGTTTGGGGGAAACTTCGTAAATAAAAGAAGGTTCTGTCAGAAGAATGGTTCAGATCTCATGGTGGTAACATCCGATGACCAACCAATAGCTTAAAGASCTATAGCGTCGCCCCCCAAAAAATTATGTGTTAACTTCCTAATTACTACCGTGATGCGATAGTTATCACCGTGGATCTATTCGAGCTTTAAACAGCCGGCCCTTGTTAAAAAAATCATTTTCATTCTATTCGCTGTATTGATAAGCATAAAAAAGCAAGAAATTMATTGCCTCGAAACTTGCAAATTCAGGAATATAGTAAAGTGTTGTTATTRATGCCGAATATGGCTTTTCAGGAGGAAAATAATTCTATTTCAAGTATATTTKAAGTATTATTTAAAACTTTCGTACAAGAAAGGGCCTGTATTGCGCCAACCCCCTCACCTGTGACACCAAGTGTCACCTGATATCACTCCGAGAAAAAAGTCCATGCTGTTCAGAAAATTATAAAAGAATTTGTCATAAAATGTCAGAATGACATTCCATACGACCAAGAAATCTATATTTATCTACACAGAAAATATTGAACACGGCGGAAAACGACAATTTGGGTAAATCTATATAGGAAATCGCACGACCTTGAGTACGAAAGGTTGTGCGATTTTTTGTTTATAGTACATTCAGTGAAACAAAACTTTATAAGAATTTTATATTGTACTCCTCTCGACCAATGAAAAAGTAATATTTTCGTTGAAAGTACTGTAAATGTCTGAAACATAATCATGATTGTAGCATTCACCTCACCTCTTTCGTCAAGACTGATGCCGACAAAGGAGCTCCAAGCTATGACTTAGATAAAAGACGTTGATATTCTTATCTAAAAAGCTCATACATAATTAAAGGAGCCATTTGGCCAATTGGATTAGCCTATATATTTGGTCAAATCTCGTTATTGGTATTTTTGATAAAGAATACTATTGAGGAGGCTCTATATCAGATATTGAGCTCAAATGATCCTAGCAGAGGTCCCAGGTTTAATATCTCATCATTAACCAATGCAGGATTTTAACTCCCGATTTCAATAAAGCAGTCACCAACGTTAGTCCTTTATTGTGATTCACGCTTGATCAGATTGTTCCAATAATCTCAAAACTTATATTTACGACCATTTCTCTAAGAATCTTAATCTTTTTGGCAGCCGTTTACACCACTCGAGGTCGTGTTTTATCATGTATAACGACATTTTATATACGTATAAAAATGTCATCACAAAACTAACTRTCATATTTCAGAATTCTCCAGTTTGCAACGTTTGTTCATCCRAGGACCAGCAAGGAGTGTGACAAATCGGCAAATCCTCGACTACAACAGAGCCGTAACGTATTCAATCCATTGGAAAGCCCACTCAAAACAGTGCGACTTTTGATTTCTCTATAATCTGTCTGCGATAATGTTACAAAAAAAGATATCTTACCTACAAGTACATATATACTTCCAGAAGGAGGATTCTCTATGCTTTTTGAAATATATGTCTGAAATTTCTTTACCGAATATTACATTGTTGATCATAGAAGCCACCCKAAAAAAACTCCTTAGACAAAATATTCTTAAAAAATCTTTTCAGTTTCTACTCTTGGGCTGAATATCAACACGCTTAGAAAATGCAGTGTCTTTTTCCTTTTTCATGGTTTTAATCTTGCTATCCCGTTGTGACCACCTGGATCAAAGAGAAGAAATCAATTATCCTTGACCTCACTGAAAATYTATTTTAAAGTGTTATCACTAATCAATGCAGCGAATGTTAGAATACCGGTGTAGCTTACACTTCAATATGATATTGGTATCAATAACTCGTCAGCTTTTATTATTTACTTTGAGAAATTATAAAGAGTCATTCACTTCTTGCCCACTTCACTTAACCTGTAACACCACCGGAAACACACTTTGTTCTTATTATAATGAGTAAGTTGTGACGCAAATCAAGCTCAATCGACTTCATTATTCAAATCAAACATTYTCATTACAAATATTATATCAATAAAATATTTTCTAGTCGTTATTTTATTATGGTATAAACGTAATTGATGTTAAAGGCGACTCTATCGTTAAGGTCTCTTTTACGGGTGAATTTCATCGCTACCACGCCCATCTACACGTTAGATATTGCAACAGAACAAGAAGCTTTCCGTAATTACGAGTGAGATGTCGCATTGTTAAGACGCAAAAAGGAATGAAAACAATAGAGATATTGTCTCGAAAATGTCACGTTTGAGAATCGCCTTGATACGGAGATACGCGGCACCAAGCTGTGGCAAAGAAAAAAAAACATGATTAATTGTCCGTACTGTTATTATCACAGTGAAATAACTCGCTTCCTTGAATTAATACTAGTACATTGAACAGAAACCATTTGCAAACGGGAAATTACGTGTCCGTTGGTAAAGCTGTCTGCCTATGAGATAGTATGAATATCGTGTTTGTATGGGAGAAAAGTAAAACGGGTTTTGAGAAGCTGTCCATAATCAGAGCTGTCCGATGTACGATTTTTTTACAGACTGGACGTTAGCACCATATTACTACATGGTCGGATCTTCCTTTGGAATAGGAAAATCAGAACGGCTGTTATGGTTATTAATTCATGATGATAATGTGGAACGCATTAACACTCTGACGCTTGAGTAGGTAGACCAGCACAGCCGCACACACATATTGACTAAAAGGCCTACTCTGGGTCCAAAATCTGTTTAAAAGACGCTTCAAAGCACCTTTAGCCGCCTTAAGCCGCCTAAAAACTCCAACCAACATACACCTACTTGCGAAAACGTTGTCATAAAAAATAGGACATTTGTATTTTAGTAAAAAGGAATAAATTAAAAACACAAAGGAAGATCACTGAGGCTGAACGCTTTCTTTTGTCTTGTTTTAATTTATTCCTTTTTACTAAATTCGAATGTTCTATTTTCTATGACAACGTTTCTGCAAGTAGGTGTATTCCAATAAACTCTAAAACCGCCTTAAGGTGCCCTTAGACGCGGCGGTACTTGGACCCGGAGTAGGCCTACAAAAGGCTGGAACTTAAAAGACGTCTAGTGTGGCATTTATGAAATCTTTGATGTATCTGTTGTTTTCCACCTGCCATGTCTCTGAACGTTTTTSTCAGTTACACGACAGTTGATTGATCTCTTAATTGACACCGCTGGARGTGTACAACGGGTACTGTAGCGACTTATGTTATGAGCAATACTGTTGAAGATTTTTGAAGGCTTCACGATCTATTTAGAAGAGAACCATGCCTTTTTATCGACATGTTTCTCAATGAATTTTTCAAGTTTTTCATTATTCTTTTGGATAGAATTTCCTGTTTCCGTCGGAACAGGAATGATTACAGCAGAAACCGTTGCATCGCGACTTTCATGTTCAAAGAAAATACTTGGAATTTAGGATTTTCTGCGACTTGGGGGCGGAGCTTGATACTAATCAGCCAATGATTGAACGAGTTTTCGAAAAGCTCCGTCCCTCAGATTGAAAGAGAGAACAAAATCCAGACAAACTTCAAAACAAAGAGGTCGCGATGCAACGATTTCTGCTGTAATAATCTTTTGGCCTAGCCAGTCAGTTCTGATGCATGGAAAATATTTCAATAGCGACTTTACACTTATCCTAAACAAGTAATATTGGCCATCAAAAGAGAGATCCGATCACAATTAGTAATTTGTGCAAGCTTGGCATACTTTGTGTATGATTGTTCGTTTATGAAAAGGCCAATATAATCTATATGAATTATATGTCTTTGATTAGGTTTTTTTCATTGATCATTAAACAACGTTTCTCGTCTATGTTTATTATTTCTCAATAAGTTCATATTTTAAGTTATGGATTACCACTTAGCATCCCACTGCTTCTCCCTCTTCACTACCACTGACACTGCCACTACTACTTCCACTATCACCTTCCTCTTTTTTTTCTTCGTCTATCTCACAGTAGTACCCACGAAGATGCGAGGTTGATTTTTTGGGACATGGCTTGCACTTGTTGTTGAAACGACTTATTCGTACGTTGTTCCCATCACAGCAACCGTTCTCTGAAACGGTTACATCAGACCTTGACACCAACTTTGAGAGGTGGCTTCGTTGCTTCTGTGTTTCTGAGACTATCAGCTTTACTTTTGCTTTAATCAAAAGATTTGTTGCAGGTTTTGGAGCATCCCATTTCAATTCCTGTGCGCCCTGAATATTTTCATAGCTGAGACTCCAGGTTGACAGTATAGTTGGATAAAGACTTAGTGAGCCATGAATGGTAGTGGATTGGTCACATATCTTGGGCAGATTGTCACAGAGACTGTAAGGATTGTCAATTTCCTTAGCACTGCAGCTGGTGTATCCCTCTTCGTAGACAGTTCGGAATGTGGCATGACGTCGTGGAAGGATGAAGGCGATGTTTTTTTTCCTTGGTTCAATAGATACATGACTAGATGCGATTGACTTCAGAGTGATGGTAGTTGTAGTGAGCTCTCTGTCTGCCCCAGTCTTGTATTCTTTTTGTGGTAAAAACAGTTTGATTTCGCTTACGAAGGGCATATCTGTAGTTCTTCTTGATGTGATCCATCCGTTGTTCAGTAGCCAATCTCGTTCCATTGGAGGTTTGAAAACAACATTTTCTCCTCTCGCAAGAGCAGCCAAGTCGATGTAGCCCGTGTCTCCTTCAAAACTAGCTTGAGTTGGAATGTATACTTCCCTGTCAATCACATCGGTAGATGCGGTAAATGAGTGGTCAATCAAGACGTCAAGGTTTTCCTTGCTGTATAGTCCATCAACCGTCGAACACTGCATCCTAGCTGGCTCACCATAGCGTTGATATTCCAAAATGTCGCAAAACATGGACGCTGTGGACTGAAATCTATTGTGCATCTTAAAAGATCCTATAAATAGCTGATTTGCGTGCAGAACATCTCCTTTGCCTTTGATATTGCCTCCAAACCTCTTTGCTATATTACCGCGAACAACCGCTGCGACGGCGTCGACCAACTGGAATTGGAAATCGAATGTGTCTTCTCGAAGTGTGAAAAACTGAGCCAAAGTTCCTTCGAGTTTCTCACACAATAGTTTTCCTCCGACAATCCCTTTGGCAGTCGCACCAGCAATGCCTACKTCGCCACTCAAGATATCGCACGTAGCATCCTTGAACGCCGACCACAAGGCATTATTTTTTTCAAGTTTGGATCGATCTGTCTGAGGAGTGTAGGCAGAATAAGCTGCCAGAAATTTGTCGGCATCCTTGCCTATGGCATTTGCTTTATTTTGCCTTATTTTTTCGACAACTTCTTTGAGTCCTGTAATTTGACCCTTATTTCCGAGAAAAGCCTCAGCAATTTTCATCGAATCTTTTGCGAGCCCGTCTAGTGCGACAAGAAGTGCTGCTCCTTTAGCAACATCGGTAGCTGCATCTGCAACTTTGCCTGATGCTTCCACAACTTCGGCCAAATCAGGTCCATTGAAAATGAGTTTAAGAGGATTGGAGTTTTCGGCAAGTTTTATTGCAAGAAAGGCAGCGGCTTCACCGAGATTTGCTGCAGCTACGACCATCATCTTTGCCATAATTTCTTTTATGTCTTCTTGTATTTGAGTTTCTACCTTAGCTAGACTAGTCTCATACTTGTCCAGCTCTCCCTGTATAAAAAGCATGTCAGCTTCAGCAATTCCTTCGTCATATTTCGCAAGACCCTGGAAGTACTGGGATATTCCAGAAACAGATGCTTCTAAGTTTTCATCAAGAGCTTTTATTTTACCTAATAGTTCTATATGGTGATATGTACTTTGTTCTTGCTTCAAACGT